ACGCGGGGACCTTTCAGGTCAGGGCCTGGCAACAGGGTGCATGTGAAACCCTCCCCCCTCACGGGAGAGGACGGAGGAGGGCAGAGGGGTAGAGAGTGGAGGGATCAGCAAAATGCAGCAACAGTGATAGCAGTGGTGGTGGCTGTGGTGTAGCGCAGTTGTGGAGCTGCGTGGTGGTGTAGCTGTGCAGTTGTGTGGTGGCGACAGCGGTGATGGTGTTAATGGCAGTGGTAGCGGTGGTAGCGGTGGTGGCGGTAGGGGTTCAGGTAACAGCAGAAGGAGGAGGGTGAGAGAAGTGTGAAGAGAGGGATTGTTGGGGGATAGGGAGGAGGGCGGAGGAGACGGACGAAAGGATGAGGCGGTTGCTCAAGAGGAGAAGTATCGAAGATGCCTTCGGCGAGTCACCACCGTCTCCTGCCTTCTGACACGCCAGTGTCTTTAAACGTCGAAAAAATGTCCCTCAACTACTGCGTATACTCCGTTGTCCCCCAGCTATTCTTGGGGAAGCTACGGGGGACACGAGAGGTGTGCCCTCTGAGATCGTTTTGGGGTAATCGTGGGGCTCGACTCGGGCATTCTGGGTCTTCGTGGGAGCACGGTGGGGCCCTCTTGGCCCTTCTCGGGGCTCTTGGGCCGTCCGGGGGCGGGTTTGGGCCGTCTGGCGCCTTCGGAAACTTCTTGGGGTACCTTAGATCCTGTAGGGCCGTCTTGGGGCTCTCTGGGGACCTGTTGGGTCCTCCTGTGAACCTATTCGGCCACCCTGGGGTGATCTTGAGGGCCTTTTCGGCTGCCTTGGGCGCTCTAGAGACCGAACAGGGGGCAAGCCGATAATCATTGAGCCACCTTAGGAACGTCAATGTTTTTTGCCTCTCGCAACCTTTCTGGGGGCCATCCTCAGTCCTCTTGTGGCCCCCTTGGGGCCCTCTTGGGGCCCTCTTTGCCGTCTAGGAGGCGTCTTGGGAGCATCCTGGACGGAACATCGCACGGGATGCTAATTTTCTCTGGGGCGTGCTGGATTGGCAGAAGCCCTCCGGGAACCTTTTCAGGAAAAGGGCCAGAAACGAGGCATCACACTGCGGCACTTTCTTTTACCGGCGAATGGGAGCCCAGTGGCAGAGTGCAGGGGGACGACACGACGCGACGACGAAAGCGACGGACGACAGAAGAACGACAAGCGCGCGGAGCGGGCAGGGGGAGGGCAGGGGGGGAGGGGGGAGGGCATCACACTGCGTCACGCCAAGCGCCCCTGTGGCAGGCCCGGTCGCTCCATGTCGGCACGGGGACGGCCCACGCTCGCCCGCACCATGGTGTGCAAGCCGGTGCGCACGCGGCGGCGCACAGAGAGGTGGAGAGCTGCAGTGGGGGCGCATGCCAAGAGACACCCTGCGGGCCTCTCCAGGGGGCCCTGGGTTTCCTGGGTTTCGAGGGTTTCGCGACGGGAGGCGTGACGTTCCCACGCCACAGAACAATGGACGTCCTGGGGTCTCAGGGCTGGGTTTCTGGTGGAAGGTTTCTTGTGGGTGGCCTGCACTGCAGGAAGGATGAGCAACCTTGCATCCTTCTCCTTCGGCCCATTCTTGGCCGCTTTCGCTGGCCGCGCCCCGCTCGCAAAGTGTCGACATGGCCTTCCGAGGCCCTTGCGTCCTCATCGTGCGTCCGTATTCTGCGGGTCGACCGTGGACATCATGACCCACGGAAGGACAGAATTGAGGCGGACGCGGCGCCCAGGCTCCGATGGAGACCTGACGGCCTTCGCGCCACCCCGCCACCGTGCCTTGGGCCGCGGGCCAGCGCGGCCTCTCGGGAGGCCCCTCGGCGGGCCTCTCGGCGGTTCTCTCGCTGGCAGCTGCGCCCCCCGCCGCCCCCCCCCCCCCCCCCCGCACCCCCCCCCGTCGCCCAGAGGGGCACGGGGGCCCCGAGAGCCGACGTCGCGGAACAGCAACTCTGCCGCCGCGCCGTTTGCTTGAAGTCGGGCACGTCCCTCTGCAGGAGGAGTCTCCCCCAAAATGATCAAACAAATTCTCGGGGGGCGATGTTTGGAGTTTTTGTGGACCCTGTTTGATTATTTGCGGAGTATTTTGTTTTATTTGTCGTCCAAAATTCGGGGGGGAAAAACACACAGGCACAACTAATCGTCGCTTCCCCGGAAATTATGGGAAAATATGGGAACTGGGGGGGAAGACAAACACCCAGAAGGCACAGGATCGTATGGGGGAATCCTGTTATCTGCGTCTATGGACTTCTGTGCCCCAGGGCCCCCTTGAACAACATCCCCCTTGGGGGGGACATGCCCGACCGATCCTCTGCTCCGACCCGCGGCCCTCCGTCCTGGGCAGGGCGCCGCGGGCACCCGTGCCGACGCCGCCCCCGCGAGCGCGGTGGGCTCTCCGTGGGGCCCGCCGCGGCGCCGGCGTCGCCTGCCCGGGCGCGGGGCGCAGTGCTGGCTCGGCGGGCTCTGCCGCGGGGTCGGCGTCGTCCATTCGGGGGCGCGCCGAGGACACGGCGCTGGGGATGCTGCCCCAGAGATCCAACGTGGCGGAAAAATCAAGACGGAGGTTTCTCGCCCTTCTCGGCCTCCAGGGGCCCTCGCGGGGCCCCAGGACCGTCAAAAAACGACTCAGGATGAAAAACCGGCCCCGGGGAGTGGATCGAGACTTCCAGGGACCCCGTACTGAAAAAATCACGACATCGGATCTTTGGGATTCCTGGGAGGTCAAGTTCTGCTTTTGCACTGGTCCGAAGTCCGGCTTAATCCGGCTTAATATGGCTCAATCCCGCTCAATCCCATTTAATCCCGCTTAATCCGAGGCCCATTCCGGCGTACCAGCTCCCAAATAGGGTTGAATCTCCCTTGATCTTTCCGACGAGCACCTCCCAGTAGTTGCCTCCTAACGGCGCGGCGACATCTTGCGTCGTGAGCAGAGCCCTGGGCCCAATCTTTCTGCGGCACTCTTCGAGCCGGATCCCTCGGAGGTGGCCTCTGGGCCTGGAGCCGTGCGAGAGCGCCCGGCGTGCAAACACCGCAGCGCCAGGATCGCAGGAGACAGGGGGCCCTCGAAGGTCATCACGGGCCCCTCGCGCCCAGGCATGGGGCTGCGCGGCGTGCGTGCGCGGGGTGCGAGTGGCGTCCCGGGCACGGGGTGCGCCGGGTGCGGTGCGCCCGGGCGAAGGCCCCGTCGCCTCTATCGCCCCAGGTGGCCCCCGGGCGGGGCTCGGAGGCTTCAGCAGGGGCTGCGCGGCTGCGCGCTCGGCCTCGCGGGGCGGCAAGGAGGAGGAGAAGGAGGAGCAGGAGGAGGAGGACGAGGAGGAGGACCAGTGTAAATCCAAGAGTCATCAACGATGTTGGAATAAACCCTTCCTCCAAGCTCCCTCTTCATAGGCCCCTGTAACGTTTCATTTCCACAGGGAACTGCCTCATTGAAAGACAACCTTTTGAAGACCTTGAAGAATGCATAAACATTGTTCTCGGGTTTTCAACGCCACAGATCAACCTGACTGTTGCGCCTTGACGATCCTAAGTCGTGCAAGAACGCAGTTCTTGGGATTACAACACCGCGAATCACAATAAGTGTCGCGTCCGCGTAATCCTGAATCCTTTCAAAAAGCAGTAATTGGTACGCTGATCGTGGGAATCCGTGAAACTCTTGACTGTTTATACATGAATGTGCGCGGTGCTAAGGCGAGAGCCACATTTTGAAAAGGAGCCGCACTCAATCCGAGACACTCTTGCAACGTGTTAGAACGAATGCACGCGGCGCTAAGGCGACAGCCACATTTTGAAAACGACTCGCCCTCAATTCGTGAAACGCTTACAAGTGTTCAAGACGAATGTGCGCGGCGCGAAGGCGAGAGCCACATTTTGAAAACGACCCGCCCTCCATCTGTAAAGTTGTTGTCAAATTCTAAGCTTCAGAGTCATACAGGGTGAGGAAGTCTCAGGCGAAGCGCCCGGCCCGCCATAAAAAGTGGCCTCGGGGTGCGACAGGGAGAAGTTATTCAGAAGGAGGAGGAGGAAGAGGAGGAGGAGGAGGAGGAGGAGGACGAGGAGGAGGAGGAGGAGGAGAAGGAGGAGGAGGAAGAGGAGGAGGAGGAGAAGAAAGGAGGAGGAAGAAAAGGAGAGGAGCAGGAGGAGGAGGAGGAGGAAAAGGAGGAGGGGGAGGGGAGGAGGAAGGAAGGAAGAGGAGGAGGAGGAGGACGAGGAGGATGAGGAGGAGGAAGAGGAGGAGGAGAGGAGGGAGGAGGAGGAGGAGGAGGAAGAGGAGGAGGAGGAAGCAGAAGAGGAGGTTGAGGAGGAGGAGGAGGAAAAGGAGGAAAAGGTGGAGGAGGAGGAGCAGGAGAAAAGGAAGAGGAGGAGGAGGAGGAGGAGGAAGAGGAGGAGGAGGAGGGGGAGGAGGAGGAGGAGGAGGAGGAGGAGGAGGAGGAGGAGGAGGAGGAGGGAGGGCCTCGCCTTGGGCGGGGCGCCAGGGGCGTGGTCTCCGCGGGCAGGGCGGCCGAGAGCTGCCTGGCGCGGCGGCCCCCGGCAGGGGGCATGGAGGATGGAGGCCTGCGGCCCTGTTGGGTCGGAGGGCCCGCGGAGAGCTGCCCGCGCGGCGGCCCCGAGGAGGAGGCCCCTCCTCCTCCTCCTCCACCTCCTCCTCCTCCTCCTCGTCTTCCTTCTCTTAATCCTCTTAATCCTCCTCCCCTCCTCCCCCCTCCTCTTCCATCTTGTGCCCTCCGTGGCCGCTGTCCGAGCCGGCCCGCCCCCCCGGGAGGAGGGCCGAGTGCGGCCGAACCCCGCGGCCGCCTCCCCGCCGGCGACCTGCGCCCGGCTGGGCTTCGAGGGGCTGCCGCCGCACGCGACAAGGCTGCCGCAGCGCCTGAGGCCCGCCCCCGCCGCCGATCGGTGCTGGAGGGTCGAGGGTCTGGGGCGTTATTGGCCCTTCTGGCGCCTCCGCCATTTGTGGCCACGGCTGGGTCCGCTTCGAGATTCTGGCCAGTGCACTCCAGGACATGCTCGGGGG